TGCCGGCCCCTTCCGCGCCTATAGCGGCCGTTTCCCCTCCCGCAGCCGGGCGCTCATCAAAGACGGAGCTGACGGTCTGCTCCTCTCCCCCGGAGGCCCCTAAACGAGCCGTGATCCCCCTTTTATCTCCTTCCCGTAGGTCAGAGAGGTCCCGCAGCTGAAACAGAGCAGGTCTGATGGAGCTCACAGGTGCCCGTTAACCCTTGGCTTCCCACTCTAAAATAAAGTACACAGCCCCAACGAACAGTTAGGAGAACGAAAGCGGCGTCGACGGAGGGTGCAAAATAACTAAGAGGGCTGGTGGGCGGTCGAGCCTGATGGTTTTCATTACTTTCCCGTATCAGAAAAGCACAGATCAGGCGCGCCTGTCGGAAAGACAGCCCCGCGGTCTGCTTTCCGTAACACCCGGGCAGCTTTTTCAGGCTCGGCTCTCACTCAGACCCCTAATCGCAGAGCGTGGCGCGCGTCAAACGGCCCAGAGGTTAAACTCACGTTCTGCTTCCGTTTAAAGATTACAGATAAAAACTACATCCGCTTTCTCTCCAACTGGAAGAAAGAAAACAAGCCCCACGTCCTTCTATTTGATCATACGCCGGCCGTGCCGCTCTTATACAAGGTAACGTGATTTCTGTCGCTGCGTTGCGGACGCGCTAACAAATGCAGGTGTTCCGAAAGAAAACGCGACATTGCCGTGAGCAGAGGCGGACCGAGGCCTCTAAATAGCATTGACCGGTTCCAGGAGAGCGAGTCGATTGCGGTCGGTTGAAAACGGCACGGCCAGGCGACCGACTTCCTCCGCAGCTGGCTTCTCGGTCCCGCCACGGACGTACCCTTAGCGGCCGCAAAGGCGCGGGTGGGTTTCGGATGCAGCGGCAACAGCGGCACGTACTAACCTTTACCGGTAACGAGAGATTTTGGCGGCACGTCTAATTCTGGCTGCTGGAAAGCCCAATTCCCAAGAAACCCCTGCTACCGTGCAAAATGTCGGGTCGTGGCATAAAGCGGCGGATCCGCTGAGGCTCCCCGTACGATGACCAAGAGAACGCAAAGGGCCGTTCCGCCAGGGAGAGGA